ATATATATATATATATATATATATATTATTTTTAATTGAATGGATATTTTTAGGAGTATTTCATCCCAGATTTTCATAAAAATTATTTATACAATTTATATTCGAACTATTGTTCTTATCTGTTTTTTTTTTTATCTCAATGTTTCGGACATTGTGCCCTACGGCCTTCATCAGGTGTATATCGTTGATCCGGGTAACCTACAGGGAATTCCAAACTGAACACTTTAGTTAATCTATGAGGATAGACTGTTCTCATTCCATTGCCCTTGTCTAGGGATATCTCGTCTAGTTCTTATTTCTAATATTGCTCACCCGTTTTTCACTCTAATCCAAGTAAGCACTGCCCGGCCCATGGTTTGAACTCACAATGTCTATGTTACCAAACTGACGAGTCAACCGCTTAATTCACTCGGCTATCGTTTTATGAACATTGTTTTTGAAGTTGTTCTGTAACTATGATTTCGATACATCTTCATAGAGATCTTTGTTCGTTCAGTTAATGATGAATGGATTCAAATAGCCCATGATAATTCCTTGTAGTCTCAAACCAACTGCGCACATGCGACCTAAGTATTTCAAACGGAAGTTACTGACTGAGTTATTATTTAAAAATATAACAAACCGGAAATCTGGGCTTCGGAATTGTCTTAAATACGTGGGTGCACAGCGTGCACGATACCTTGTTCGCAATTCACTGAGATGGTAATTACATGCATCTTATTGCTTGTGGGTATCTGTCACTGGTGTCAGCCTGTGTGGAGGAAATAAGAAGGAAGAAACTGAGGAGATACACAGTCGAGCCATTGTTGATTTATTGTTTGAATGTAATAATTCGAATGCGAACTAAAACTAACTAGAACAGTCTACCCCATTGAGCGAAATAAAGGGTTCAGTTCGACATTACAACCACCTGAAGAAGGCCAGAGAGTACAACGGACGAAACGTTGTAATAAATATGGTGACAAAGATGAGGACAATAGTCCGAATGATGTAAAAAATGTACATAATACCTAATCTCAGAAATATAAATATATACTGAAGGGCCGAAACGTTGTAATAAATATGGCGAGAAACATGCGGAAAATAGTCCGAATAATGTAAATAATGTATATAATACCTCATCTCAGAAATATAAACAGATACTGAAAGGCCAAAACGTTGTAATAAATATGCCGACAAAGATGAGGACAATAGTCCGAATAATGTAAATAATGTATATAATACCTCATCTCAGAAATATAAAGAGATACTGAAAGGCCAAAACGTTGTAATAAATATGGTGGCAAAGATAAGGACAATAGTCCGAATGATGTAAATAATGTACATAATACCTATTCTCAGAAATATAAACATATACTGAAGGGCCGAAACGTTGTAATAAATATGGCGAGAAAGATGAGGAAAATAGTCCGAATAATGTAAATAATGTATATAATACATCATCTCAGAAATATAAACAGATACTGAAAGGCCAAAACGTTTTAATAAATATGGTGAGAAAGATGAGGACAATAGTCCGAATAATGTAAATAGTGTACATAAAACCTCATCTCAGAAACAGAGACAGATACTGAAGGGACGAAACGTTCTAATAAATATGCCGACAAAGATGAGGACAATAGTCCGAATAATGTAAATAGTTTACATAATACCTCATCTCAGAAATACAGACAGATACTGAAAGGCCAAAACGTTGTAATAAATATGGCGAGAAAGATGAGGACAATAGTCCGAATAATGTAAATAGTGTACATAATACCTCATCTCAGAAACAGAGACAGATACTGAAGGGACGAAACGTTGTAATAAATATGCCGACAAAGATGACGACAATAGTCCGAATAATGTAAATAATGTATATAATACCTCATCTCAGAAATATAAAGAGATACTGAAAGGCCAAAACGTTGTAATAAATATGGTGAGAAAGATGAGGACAATAGTCCGAATAATGTAAATAGTGTACATAATACCTCATCTCAGAAACAGAGACAGATACCGAAGTGACGAAACGTTGTAATAAATATGCCGACAAAGATGAGGACAATAGTCCGAATAATGTAAATAGTGTACATAATACCTCATCTCAGAAATATAGACAGATACTTAAGGGACGAAACATTGTAATAAATATGCCGACAAAGATGAGGACAATAGTCCGATAATGTAAATAGTGTACAAATACCTCATCTCAGTATAGACAGATACGGGACGAAACATTGTAATAAATATGCCGACAAAGATGAGGACAATAGTCCGAATAATGTAAATAGTGTACATAATACCTCATCTCAGAAATATAGACAGATACTTAAGGGACGAAACGTTGTAATAAATATGGCGACAAAGATGAGGACAATTGTCCAAATAATGTAAAAAAAAAAAAAAAAAAAACACTAGCTGAATTAAATAGTGATTAAAAGCTATCGATCCAGAAATGGTAAACATTGGCTATGAGGTCTCCCATTCGTCCATGCTTAAAATGTCAATTGACTCGACCGAAAGAGTTGTAAGTTCAATACCTGTCCACAACAGAGAGTTAATATATCAAAGGGAATTAACTAAAACTGATATATCCAAAGGCATTGCGCGTGAACTTAGGCCAATTTGCCCCCGCCCCTTCCTGGAGGACTAAACAAAAGGTTCAGTTGGAAATTCCAAGAAACATCACCTGAAGAAGGCTGGGGTGTACAACGGAGGAAACGTCGTGGATATGACAATAAAGATGAGGATAACTATTGCCTGGTTCGTAATTGTCTGGGACGCTAATTGTCCGGGATGCAACTGTCCGTCCATCGAACGTTTACGTAATATGAGGCTTTCTGTATGGCAGTGAATGCTAGAAAATCTCCTCACAGATGAAAAATAGAGACCAGCTAACAAAGATGCGGATCTACAGAAGGATACTGAGAATAACATGAACTAAACATTGAGCAACGACGAAGTTTTAAGGAAAATGGAAACAAAGCGGATGATAATACATCAGAAAGTTATAGTTGACTTTTCTAGGGTATATTACGAGGAAAGACGGTTTGAAACATTTGATACTCGTAGGAGAGATTGAAAGCAAGAGGTGTGATGGCTTCTTATTGATTGATTTGTTTGGTCGTTTATTTAAAACCAATTTTTTTTACGTTGTAAGAACTTGGTGGGAGGGACGTGGATAATGATTTATTGATACCAGCTTACCTTTAATTAACCCATAGCTAGTGGGAAAAGACGTGGATTAATATGTATCCCAAGGGTATTCTAAGATTGAAGCACCTGGTATTCCCAAGCAGTTACGCATACAGGTACTTGAGAAAGGTATGAATCTACCTCTTCTCCTCCAGCTATAGGTTAATTAGTAGAACTTGTATCAGTAATTCATAGTTATCTCCAAAACATTCTGACAATCTAAACGTATTTCTGGCTTTGAATAAACTGAAAAAATTTGATATCTCCTAAAAGAACAATTCACTCCCTCTAAATAACATTTGACTTGTCCCCAGGCTGCTGAACAACTTGTTTAATTTTTATTTTTTAATCAATCCCCCCCCCCCAGGGAAGGCGATAATTCCACTAAGACGCAAGGGGGCTACCGGGTGTGAATGAAAATTATAATATTTTAGAAGGAGCCGGAAACCCAATCTTAAACAGGAAACAAAGTAGAAACCTCTACTCCTATTCAAAAAATTTATCTACTCCTAATGAAGGAAGAAAATAAATAAATAACATTTCAGAGTTTAGGTGGAGACGTTAGAAGCATAGAGTTGAAGTAGACTTTAGAAGGAACCGGAAACCCAATCCTAAACAGGAAACAAGGGATAAACCTCTACTCCTATTCAAAAAACCTATCTACTTCTACTGAAGGAAGAAAATAAATAAATAACATTTCAGAGTTTAGGTGGAGACGTTAGAAGTATAGAGTTGAAGTAGACTTTAGAAGGAACCGGAAACCCAATCCTAAACAGGAAACAAGGGATAAACCTCTACTCCTATTCAAAAAACCTATCTACTCCTACTGAAGCAAGAAAATAAATAAATAACATTTCAGAGTTTAGGTGGAGACGTTAGAAGTATAGAGTTGAAGTAGATTTTAGAAGGAACCGAAACCCAATCCTAAACAGGAAACAAGGGATAAACCTCTACTCCTATTCAAAAAACTATCTACTCCAAGTGAAGGAAGAAAATAAATAAATAACATTTAAATGTTTAGGTGGAGACGTTAGAAGTATAGAGTTGAAGTAGACTTTAGAAGGAACCGGAAACCCAATCCTAAACAGGAAACAAGGGATAAACCTCTACTCCTATTCAAAAAACCTATCTACTCCTAGTGAAGGAAGAAAATAAATAAATAACATTTCAGAGTTTAGGTGGAGACGTTAGAAGTATAGAGTTGAAGTAGATTTTAGAAGGAACCGGAAACCCAATCCTAAACAGGAAACAAGGGAGAAAACTCTACTCCTATTCAAAAAACCTATCTACTCCTAGTGAAGGAAGAAAATAAATAAATAACATTTCAGAGTTTAGGCGGAGACGTTAGAAGTATAGAGTTGAAGTAGACTTTAGAAGGAACCAGAAACCCAGTCGTAAACTGGAAACAAGGGAGAAAACTCTACTCCTGTTCAAAAAAACTATCTACTTCTAGTGAAGGGAGAAAATAAATAAATAATATTTCAGAGTTTAAGTGGAGAAGTATTGAGTTGAATTTGACTTTAGAAAAGACCGGAAACCCAATCCTAAACAGGAAGCAAGTGGTAAGCGTCTACTCCTGTTCAAAATACCAGAGAGGAGTGGGAACAGGACGATAGGCGAAACTATCTACTCCTATTCGCATTGTTGTTTTATTGATGTCACTTTTTTACAATCATGTTCATGCTGTACAAGGACCAAGAACTACTCGAGGTTGAGGAATATCGAGAAAGAAGAACAGATCATGCGAGTACGTTGGGTAGATAACAGTTAACTGGAACAGGTGAGATTCTATTGATCAGGAAAACATCCTCTTGGGAGTCGTTTCAGCTTTTGGGAGGAGGGAAGTTTTCGTGTAAAATGAAATGAGAGGATGCAGTTGTAAGAAAATCAAAGACGAAGATAGGAATGTGAGCGCGTGGAAGAAAGACGCATATCGAATAAAAGAAAGAAGAAAATGATAGGAAAGAAATAAAAGAATGAAAGAAAGACAAAAAGCAATTAAAAGAAAAAGGCGAAAAAAAAGAATGAAAAAAACTGTGAAGCAAGGCTTATCAGAAGGAAATGAAAACAAGAATTTAAAAACGACGAAAAAGAAAGAAGAGAGAGAGAGAGAGAAAAAGAAGAAGTGAAACGAAACAATGAATTAAAAAGGTAGAAAAAGGAAGGAAGGAAGGAAGGAAGGAAGGAAGGAAGGAAGGAAGGAAGGAAGGAATATAAAAAGAAAGAAGATTGGAGAGAATGAATCAATGAAAAAAGAAAGAATAATAGGCGAAAAGGGAAAAACAAGAATGAACAACGGGGAAAAGAAAAAGGAAAATGGGTAAAGAAAGAAAAGAAAATAAGGAATAATTGTGGGAGAAAGAAAAAGAAGGAGAAAGAGAAAAGACGCTTGGTGGGAACCTAAAAAGAAAAGGAAAAAAAAAAAGGAAGAAGACATTACAGAAAGAGATGAAAAAAAAAGGAAGAAAATTGTTGAAAAGGAAAAAATGAGAAGGAGGGAAAACAAGAATATTAGTGAGGAAGAGTATATATATATATATATATATATATATATATATATATATATATATATATATATATATATATATATATGGTCGATTTTCAGGAAGGCGACTTCCTGATGTTATCGGACGGGATCGAGTTCGATCCCAGCGTGCGGCACTTTTGGAAAGTGCCTGAAAACCATATCACGGATGTGAGTTAAATTGGGTAGACGGGACTCTTGTGGGCCGTCGATAGCTGTCCTAGCACGAAACCACAAGTCATCGTGGCCGAGGTCTTGAGCGTTTCAAACTGTTGATCAGGCTAGATAACACGCTCTTTCCCAGAAACTGTAACTAAGGTCTGCTCAGAATTGTTGCAGTATAAACCACAGGTGGGCTCAGCGGGTGTTGTGGTAAACACAAAATGTGCCTGAGCGAGAGTCTACAATAGGGATTGGTTAGCCACCCTAATAGACGGGTATCCTCGAATACGAGTGGCCAGCTATTATTTTATCATATATATATATATATATATATATATATATATATATATATATATATATATATATATATATATATATATATATATATATATATATATATATTTCCAAGCTTTTCTTCCGTTATAGCACTTCTCACCTTTGTTTTTTCTCACCTCCTACATACACACTCACTAAAATGTTATTTTTTTATATCCGTATATTTGTAGGTCTGATGAATTGGATCGTGATTACGATTCCAATTTAATAATTTCTAACCATGGAATATAGTGTTTGAGCCTTATATATATATATATATGTGTGTGTGTGTGTGTGTGTGTGTGTGTGTGTGTGTGTGAACAGAAAAAGATAGATAGATAGATGGATAGATAAATAGATAGATAGATATGAAGACACTCAGTCTATATATATATATATATATATATATATATATATATATATATATATATATATATATATATTAAAATTAAGAGAGATATCGCAAACGTTTTTGGTTGTAATGTGGATTAAAGCATATATATTTTTTTTTAAATCCACAATACAACCAAAAAACATTTGCGGTATCTCTCTTCTTTTGTACACACTTTTCTCTCGTTGGAACCACTATAACCTCTTCCTTTTATATATATATATATATATATATATATATATATAAAACAGACTGTAGTAGATAGATATAAACAGAGATAGATAGATAGATAGATAGATAGATAGATAGATAGATAGATATGTATGCAGAATCCGATGAGTTTAGATCGAAAATGACGCGGGTTTACGATTGGCATTATCTACGTGATAACAGCTATCATGAGAATAATTACTTTTTTTCTGTGTTTAAATTGGCAACGTGTCCTGTTCCATAAAAACGTCACAGGCCGCTTAGGTCACGAACAACTCAACGACGCTTAAGAAAAAATAAATCAATTCATATTTATTTATTCACTTATTTTTTTCACCAACTGCTAAAGTCGTTAATAATTTAAGCAAAAGACCCAGAAAGGATTTTAGAATTGTTTGAGAATTTTATTGCTGTGCCATCGATGTTACCTGGGGTTGTTTCAATGGCTAGGCTCGGAATGTCTCTAACAGCCGAATAGAAAATGGATTATTGAATGATAAACATTAAAATACGTTTGTAATGATTCCGAATTTGGTCAATTGCGGGTTTTCCTGTTAGATCCATTATGTATTATGGAAAAAATTAGATTTTTGTTATAAAACCATTTCAGTTTTGGTATTGTGTTTTACTGAGCTTAGCTTCATCATGTGCCTTCTCGCTTTACAACGTCTGTAATCGTGGTGCTACGCAATCTTTAATCCTTTCTAGGTCAACCTCATTCTTCCTCTATGTGCCATGTCCCTTTAGAACGTTGGCGATCATGGCCCTCCACAATTTTCTATCCTTTATAGCTCTTAATAAATTTTGACTTTTTAATATCTCTTTTAACCCCTTTGAGCCGTACGTCCTTGAACAATTTTACACCTTCTGCCTGAGCTCCTGAGTCAAAATTCTAAAATAATTGGTATGTCACGGTAGATATAAAAATAGTTTCAAACGTTTAACCACCGCTCAACCGGTAGCTGGGCATTAAGTCATTTTTCTATACCACTGTTCAACCGGCGGGTGGGCATTACGTCATTTTTATCTACCACCGGTAAAGCGGTGGTCGGAGCTCAAAGGGTCCAACCTTGTTCCGCCATCCATTTACTCCATATTATACTTCTATGTTCCTTGTTCCTTCAGGATATAGGCGATCATGGCTCTCCACAATTTCCTAACCTTTATAGCTCTTAATAAATTCTGACTACTTATCTCTCTTAAATCTTTTCCAGCCATCCATTTACTCCAGATCATTCTTTTTTATCTTCTATGAGCAGTGTCCGTTCAGACAGTAGGCGATCATGGCTCTCCACAATTTGTTGCTCTTCATAAAATTTGTCATTTTGTTATTTCTCCTAAACCCTGTTCCGCTATCCATTTCCTCAAACTAATTCGTCTTTTATGTGTCGTGTCCCTTAAGGGCGTAGGCGGTCATGTCTCTCCACAATTTCCTGTCCTTTGTAGGGCTTAATAAATTCTGTCTTTTTGTTATTTCTCCTAAATCTTGCTGCGCCATACATTTACTCAAGCTCATTTTTCTTCTATGTGCCGTGTCCCTTCAGGACATAGGCGATCATGGCTCTCCACAATTTCCAATCATTTGCAGATCTTCATAAATTTTGTCTTTTTGCTATTTCTATGAAACCTTGTTCCGCCATCCAATTATTTAAAGTCATTCTTCTTTTATGTGCTTCAGGACGTTGATAGTCATGGCTCTCCACGATTTCCTATCATTGTAGCTTAAATTAAGGTTTGTTCCTCACTCTCTCTGTTCTGTCATCCAATGAAAACAGCTCAACAGGTTGGTTACTCACCGTTCTCCACTTTCACTTTTGTCTTCAAATATGTCGTGTGAGTAACAATTTCTCCAAGCACTCTTTCCTCACTATGTGGTAGGTGTAAGTGGTGTGATGCATACTTGGAGAGCCGAGTTCGAATAAACGTCGGTTTTGTTACATTCACATACACGCAAATATCCTTGGGAAAGGTAGGAAGCTATCTCTTCCCACAGGTTTGGATTAAATAGTAATCTTTGTATATGCAAAATATGATTGCTATTCTTTAAAACTGTTAATGCAATATTTACTCGCAAAAAAGGGTACTGATCTTATCATTCAAAACATGTTTCGGATTTAAATAGGCTACGATGGTTTGATAAGCCGTGAAAAAAGTGTAAAATAGGCGGGAAACAGGGAGGATTCGACTCTATGTATGCAGCATAGCATTTACTCGTTGTAAAGATCTGAATTGATAGAACTGAAGCTAAGGTTAATGGAGATAACTCATATCATTTAATTATTTAATTATTCTTACTTCTCATGATGTTCACATCTTTTTTTTTAACTTGTTTCTTAATTTTCTTTTTGATGTTCATCCAAGATAGAGGGTTAATGAGTAATGTCGTATAAGCATAAGAAAGGGCAAGAAGTGAAGTTATCGGGGCTATGCGGGTAAGATAACGGCTAACTCTAGACTTGAAGTCAAGATTTAATTGATAAATAGCATTTCAAGGTTCGTTCGAAGACCTTAGATGTATAATGTGAAAATAGACATTAGAAGGAACCGGAAATCGAATTTTAAGCAGAAAACAAGTTATGAAACTCTACTCCTGTTCATAAATTGATAAATAGCATTTCAAGGTTCGTTCGAAGACCTTAGATGTATAATAAAATGACATTAGAAGGAACCGAAATCAATTTTTAGAAGAAAACAAGTTATGAAACTCTACTCCTGTTCAAAATTGATAAATAGCATTTCAAGGTTCGTTCGAAGACCTTAGATGTATAATGAAAAATAGACATTAGAAGGAACCGGAAATCGTTCAGAAATTGATAAACTCTAGCCTTTCATAAATTGTTAAATAGCATTTCCGTTCGAATGTATAATGTGAAAATAGACATTAGAAGGAACCGGAAATCGAATTTTAAGCAGAAAACAAGTTATGAAACTCTACTCCTGTTCATAAATTGATAAATAGCATTTCAAGGTTCGTTCGAAGACCTTAGATGTATAATGTGAAAATAGACATTAGAAGGAACCGGAAATCGAATTTTAAGCAGAAAACAAGTTATGAAACTCTACTCCTGTTCATAAATTGATAAATAGCATTTCAAGGTTCGTTCGAAGACCTTAGATGTATAATGTGAAAATAGACATTAGAAGGAACCGGAAATCGAATTTTAAGCAGAAAACAAGTTAAAAACCTCTACACCTGTTCAAAAAACCGGGAGGTGTGTTAAACAGACGATAGACGATCCTATCTACTCTTATTTATATCGTTGTTTTATAGATTCACTGAGCTTTGTTTGCTCAAGTTGAATATTTTCATTTCAATTCTTGACATCAAGATTGAACCCACGACAACCAGATAGAAACATTCATTTATCAAATGGTTCAAATCTCACGAAGGCATTTGTTACCGAAGGGAAATCAGGTGGTTATTCCCTTAATTCAAAAAGACAGTATTCCAAAAAGCCCAAAGGTCAGTTGTCGAAGCGTAAGATAATTCTCACTGAGCTGATTCCTGGCAGATGTAATATACTCACGACCTACAAAAGGCCGTGAGCGGGTGACGGGATTACAAGGACCGACATTTTGCAACCAAGATGGAGTCACCAGTTCGAATAAATCAATTTACAGAAAGATTACAAAAGAATTCGATAGTTTCAAATGTTTATTAAACTTGAAACAATTTTAAAATATTCTCACTCACGATGCAAAGCTAGATTACTACGTCATAGTGATGGTTAACAAGCCTGTCATAATAAACCACTGATTAGTGGGTTCGATCATTAACGGAATGGAAGTCCGATACATTTGACTTTCGATTGCGTCTTAATTACGCTTAGAAAATCACCAGGGTACTTCGATGGGATGTAATAGTTAACAAGCTTGTCTTGCTGGATCAATTACGACAAAGTATTGATATCGATCCTTAACTTGTGCCACATCAGAAAATCGCTACTCACAAAGCAGTTTTTTGTAGATGATCCCTTACTCAAGCAACAATTCTAATTCTTTTGGCACCACCGTATTTACGTTATCAGTGGGTTTTTTTTCTTTTATTGTTTCACTACGAGGAAGGCAATAAATCCACAGAGATACAAACTGTAACTGTGAAAGAATAGGACAAGCAGACAAAAAAAAACTTTATTAAGGAGATAGAACAAATATAGAACGCGAATTAAGAAGATAACAATTTATTTTTGAAGATCAGTTGAATGGAAAGCAAGACAGTGGAAGTGCGAGAGAAGGCCGGAGAGAAGAACGGTCAAAACGTTTCAATAAAGGAGTTTGTGTGAGTGAATAAATATTGTCAGCGGCAGACAATGTAAATTAAAGTTGGCGGATGGGAGAGCAGTCGAAATGTTCGATGGAAGACAAAAACAAACATTTGGATGAATCAATGTATGAAAGCTTAGTCAGAGAAATTCCCCCCAAAGATTGGCCTGAAAACACATTCGCTGAAAAGACAAGGACATTTGTTAAAGTGAACCAATGTCGCGTAGTCACAAGTGTTAATCTGAAAAATTCTGACAGAATAATTTATATATTTTACGGTTTATCAACCCATTATGGGTTATATAAAACCGAAAGCTGGTTCACTGTTTCGTGGGGGACAAATTCTATCTCTCTAATAGACTGGCTTACGTATTTATGAGTCTACCGTTCGTCCATGCTTAAAATATTTCTGGTGTTACATAGAGTTTTATTTAATGCATATCTATTCAACACAATAAAGGATACAGAGTTTATCTGTCATATATGACTGATGCATATGATATGTTGGTTTAAAGAGTCACTTTTAGGGGCCATCGACGCCGGAACAAGACGGAAGCCATGACAAGTGATGTTAAGCAGCCCTTTGCGATCATCAGTTGAATATGTTAGCTCTCTCTCTCTCTCTCTCTCTCTCTCTCTCTCCCTATATATATATATATATATATATATATATATATATATATATGTATATATATACACACAGTGGGGGAATAAATATACGTACACATGAAAAATTGTATTTTTATAAATGTAAAAGCCTTAACTAAATATAAATTTTGATGCATTTTATGTGTAAAGATACATTTTATTAAAAAAATAGTAATAAACTTAATTAATTCTTATTCTAACAGAAATTAATGCATTGTTTTTATTTTAACTGATGAAAAAAGTATTCGTACAAAACAA